ATAACATGAGTGTCCAAAAGATTTCAACACAATACTGAAATTTGCCAAAATAAATCATTGAAAAGGGTTTTGGGCTAGGAATGGGCATTCTATCATTATTAAAGAAAAATTCAAATTACTGGTAGGTGATCAAAATAGTAAAAAACAAGGTTACGTGGTTTTGGCATGTTACAGCTCTCTCCTATCACCAGAAAAATACTTGTTTCTTTGTATCGCGTCTAAAATTGGAAGAATATTTTAATTTCGAAAAATGCGTATTCTCAAACTTATTGTGAGGGAATTGGCAAATTCTTTTATGTGCATAACAAAGGAACGTCAAACATTATTTCCATAGATATTGAGCTATGAAGAATATCTTCTAAGCGCGAATATCCTCAGTGTATACTGAATAAACAAAAACACCCCAGACGACGAAAAACGCCGTCTCTGACGTTCCATCGCATCCTTTTTGAAAAGGAAAGAATTCCTTTTGAATAGAGCCGCTCTGCCGTGCTCTATAACTGGCTCCTCCTGCTTCGGTTGTTATCTCTTCTACGCGCCCTGTTTACTTTTCTAAGAAACGATTACTCGCACTGGCTGCTGTTTATGCTCCTAAATAAGAGCGGGCGCCTGATCCTATGCCACGGCATATACAATAATACACAATAACGTAACAGCCGACGACAAAATCTGTCTCACAACAATGCTCGATCCAGATCAATCTTGTCTAGTGCTTCCATATGCATGACAGGTCGCTCCCGAGACAACGTCAACAGACAGTGAATCTGCAAAAATGTAGCGTGATTTTTAAGGAGTTTCATTGCTGTGTAGTATTGGTATAGTCTGTGCCTCTGCCTATTTCCACTACCCTTTCATATTTCGGCTGAACAGTGCCTCTTGTTGTTGGAATTTAATATAAGGCCCTGCTGAGCACACGCTTCATCGGACACAAAAGCGGTAGGATCGACAAAGACAACTAAGAGAAACGTAATTTCATAAGAATGGATGACACTTGGCCTTACACTTCAGCAGAATTGCCCCAGTTTGCTTATTGGTTCCTCGTTAAGGTTTGAGCTGAAGCTATGTAATTCGGGCAGGTCTTTTAAGAAATATACTAAGTGACATATAAATCCGAACACCCAGTTTAAATGGTTTTATTTTAATAAAATTTTGTATAAGTACTTAATGAAGCATAATAAGTAAATGATAAAAATTTCAAAATGGTTGCACTGCTTTAAAGCCCTTTGACCTTTAATAATGTGTGGATGCACCCTGATGTGCTACGCATTCTCCAACGCGCCTAGGCATGCTTCTGATCAGGTGGTCAATGTCCTCCTGTGGTATCTCATTCCAGGCAACCACCAACTCCTCTCGAAGTGCTTCTAGACTCTGAGGAGGACGTTGCAAATTGAGCAATCTCCTACCCATCATATCCCACACAATTGGGGATAAGTCGGGAGATCTTGGTGGCCATGGTAACAATGTGACATCATTATGTTGAAAGAAGTCTATTGTGACTCTTGCAACATGTGGTCGGGCATTATCTTGTTGGAAAGTTGGATCTGCCAGGGTGTCAAGATAGGGTGAAAGATGGGGTTCTAGAACTTCGTGGATATAACGCTGCGCGTTCATGTTACCTCTGATGAAGATTAAAGGTGACCTGGAACCATAAGCTATAGCACCCCAAACCGTAACATCAACAGTGTGATGAACATGTCTTTCAACAAAAAACTGTGGATTCCTCCTTTTACCACGTCGCCTTCTAACCCTGGCACGACCATCGTGCATGCCTAAACAAAATCGAGACTCATCACTAAAGACAATACTGTTCCATTCCTGATCCCAGAGTGACCGTTGTCTGCACCACTCAAGGCGATTACGTCGGTGTTCTCGAGTTAAAGGGAGGACCCAGTGTGGCCGGTATGAAAACAAGCCAAAACTTCTCATTCGTCGGTAAACACTTCGCATGCCAATAGGTCTTTCGTGTTCTGCAAACCATTCATTTGCAATGGACCTGGTAGTGGAGAAACGGTCCCTTAAGGCCAATAATCTTAGGCGGCGATCTTCACGGTCTGTTGTTCTACGGCGGCATCCAGTGCCCCTTGCTCTTTGCGTACGGCCTTCTCGAAGCCATGCCTGATAACACCTAACCACAGTGTCTACACTTCTTTGCACTCTAACTGCAATTGCCCGAAAAGAAAGTCCAGCTTCCCGAAGTCCCACTATACGGCCCCTATCAAACTCACTAAGTTGACGAAATCGTACAGGTCTCCGTACTCTAGGCATCGTAACCGATCGTAAAGGATGTCAAGAACCAAAATCCGCCAACGTTGATTCTTTACTGCGGCTGAAATATTCATTTTTAGAGCGTTAGTGAATTAAAAAAAAGCAGTATAAAAACCGGAATGTCCAACTGATAAGGCTGAACATTTTTTCACTTGTTATTTACAGTAAGATAAATACATTCACCAACTTTTATTAAAATAAAACCATTTAAACTGGGTGTTTGGATTTATATGTCACTTAGTATAATTGCGAATTATCAACTGAAGAGAGGTGTTGACAAGGGCTTTGGTGTTCTGAGTGACCTGAATCAACCTAAAAAAACGCAATGAAAAAGAATAATTTTTGGACTGCCTTTAAAAAATTGTGTGGACAATTTTTGACGTAAGTATAGGCCTGGCAACATAAAGATCCGTCGAAGAACTCCTGTTTGAAAAGAGCAGATTCGAAGATACTATCAGAACCAGCCCTAGTAGGCGGTGCTCAGGGCTATCAAAGCAGCTGCTACCTCATATTTGAAAGTTTCGATTAGAAAAACTTCCCTGCCAGCTGGGGACGTTTTCCCAAAAACCGCAACCCAGCGTCAAGGTCGTGAAAATTTGGCTTTGGCGGCACATACTCCCTCGCGCACCCTGGATATGGGTTAATGTAAAACAGCCACCCCAATCTCGGTAGCTCTAAGCTCGCTTGCACATGTGAGAACTTTTTGCGACAGCTTTTATCGCCGAGACACGTGGAGCACAATAAAAAAGTTTATAAATTCATTTGGAAAGAAAAGATGGATTTTCGGTGTTTTAGAGTAAAAGATGTCGGGATTGCATGTTCTACAAGATGCTACACGTCGTTGTTGAAAAAACCAAAAGGCAGACTCAGCACTTTGATAAATGAAAAAAATTGCGACGAGTATAAAGGATATTAGTGATATGATTTTTCGTAACATCCAAAAGGCATATCCTATTTTCAAAATTTCTCGCAAATACAATACTGCGTCGACAGGGGGGTAGCATGAGTATTTTTTTATATTTGACTTGCTATATCAGCCATTCGACTTTAATAACAACGTTCTACAATCCCTTCCATATACAGGGTGGCGAAACAGACGCATTTACTGGCAGCTCAGTTTTTTTTTTAAAAACGCTCAGACCCGTCGATTTTGTTTTCAAGGGGGACACAAGTTTGGCAAAAAAACACGTTAGCACGTGCAGCCCCTAAGCGGGGGTGACACCACCCCCAAAATCTTAAATGGAAAGGGGGGTTGAGTGATACCTTATTTTAAAGGTCTTTCAATTCCCTTTATAATGATATAAATTAATATACTTCAGTTCAGTAGTTTTGAAGATTTATTGATTTAAAGCTTAAATAAAACTAATACATCATCATTTGTGGAGATCAATACAAAATGAAGAATGAACTGACCCGTTACGGTACGAACATAGTGGAGCGACGAGGTTTCAGATTCAGATATCTGGTAGCGTCTAGAGCGTAGAGGCAAGAGGCACCTATGGTTATAGTAGAGCGTCGCGTTTTGTCGAAGATAGACGTAAAAATATGTATTCCGACAGTGACGATGACATTCTTCTCAATAATACTTACCTGCAAGTGCTTTTAATGACTGGAGTGCGGCAGTGTAGTGTGCACGACGTAAATAAAAGTCGGAAACGCCTAGGGGAATTCCATCATTTATTTCTAGAACTGAAAAATTATCCCGACAGGCTATTTGACTACATTCGAATGGAACTTGCCACCTTTCAGTATATATTAGAACAAGTTACACCCTGCATCAACAAGAAATGGACAAATTTTAATCAAGCGCCTATAGGAACCGAAGAAATGTTGGTGGTAACAATTCGGTAAGAGAATATTATGTATTAAGGATAATACTTTTATTATTCATAAACAAACAAACGGTAACGCAAAATAATATTCTGTCTTCTGAACACAACGAACGATAACTTATAATAACTTATAATGTTTACTGATCTGCGTAATTAAACCCCTGCAACAAATGGGATGAATGTGCAAACGATGTTTGTGGTTGAGATGTATATGTCGGGCTATGATTAACAGAATGACTGACATTGATGGTGGACTGATTGTTCGAGTACTCTTCATAGGCATACTTCTGAACCAAATTTTGAATTTCATTGCGGAACTGAAGTTTTCGATGAGGCCTAATTTTCACCACGTGGGGCAAAAGGCTATCAAAAAACAGTTTATCGTCATCTGTGACTGGTAGGGCTCTGCCACGGTCTGCAGCGACACGTTTCTCATCTAAATATTGTAGTTTTTTCTTCTCTATCTCAAGAAAAGCGTCAAGTTGATTTGACCGTTTTCGGGCCCTATTCTTTAGAATAGTTCGTGGTTCTTTTGGTGTGCTTTGAATTGGAGTGACTGATTCTGTGTGGTCGGGTTCTGTTTCCTGCGTTTCTACACCCTGCGTTTCGTCCATTTCGTCTTCGTCATAGTCACCATCATTTTCATCCATCTGCGTAGAGGGTGTCGAAACTTGTGTGTCATTGTCGGGATCCAACAGGTTGCTATGACTGGATCTCGGCAGAAACTGGTCTCTCAGAAACAATAAACTTTTGAAATGAGGCCAGGAGCTCTTTTTAAGAGCCTCTTCGCCTGGATCACCAGACCGGGGCAGAGGTATTTTCTTCAGTTCTTTTCTGAAATAATCACGTAGATTTTTCCACTTCTCAGAAACTTTCTTAACTGCAACAAACAAAAATTTTCAGATATCTTGCAACAGGAGCGTCCTTTAGACACTTGGCATTTTCCTTTCGAATGGGCAGGAGTACTGTTGCGAGCATTATAAAACATATGATTAAAATATTATGGAACATGCTGCAACCACTTCACATGCCAGAATCTACTACGGCAACATTTTTAAATGTAAGTGCAGACTTCATGAAAGTATGGAACTTCCCCAATTGCATCGGAGCTGTTGACGGCAAACACGTCAAAGTTATAGCACCACAACATTCCGGATCCATGTACTTCAATTATAAGCATTATTTTTCTATCGTCCTACAAGGAGTTTGCGACGCAAATTACAAATTGCTTGTGATAGATGTCGGAGGTTACGGCAAACAGAGCGATGGGGGAACGTTTCAGAGTTCCAATTTGTACAAACGGATACACCAAAACAAACTAAATGTGCCAAATCCAGATAGTTTACCAGGAACAAATGTCCGCGCTCCCTACGTATTTATTGCAGATGAAGCGTATCCACTAATGCCCAATTTGCTAAAACCATACAATCGAAGGAACCGCTCTTTGGAACATATAAATTTTAACCAAAGATTGTCCAGAGCACGCAAAACTATCGAGTGCACCTTTGGAATTATGTACGCGAAGTGGCGTCTTCTGTCCAAAGCTATAGAGACTACTGAAAAGACTGCGGATGATATCATTAAGGCGATATGCATTTTGCATAATACAATACTGGACCGAGAGGGATTTCAACGACATTTAACATTAGTAACTGATGCAGTTCCTAGAGATCAGATGTTTGAATTACCTAGAGGAAGGCAACTGGGTGAAGGTCAAAGAGTTCGCGACATTTTCTGTAACTATGTTAATTTCTTTCCAATCAGTTACGAGACAGCTTAAAATTTTACCGCAAGATGTAAGTTCTAGCTGTTGAAATGTGTATAAAATACAATTATTTACTTACCCGACTGATTATTGCATTCATTGGCTACCTCCTCCCATAACTTATCTAGCACGTATCGGTTGCGATGATCTGGATGACTCTGATCCCATATAGCCCTTCTGTGATATACACTATTTATTAATTGCACAACATCCATTATTAAATCGCTTGAAAACGCGTGACAAAAATTGAATGCAACTATTTAAAACTCGTCGCTCGAAACCTCCTAGAGACTCGACGCATGCCTTATCGCGCTACTATGGCCCGACAGGTTTCAACCTGTGTTTTTGACTCACATAGCGGCAAACCGCGCGGTTAGCCTCTATCTGAATCTGAAACCTCGTCGCTCCACTATGTTCGTACCCTTAGGCAAATAAATGTCGAAAATATGGCCCTCATGACTCTCCATGCAATAATAAAGATTTTGCTCAAAACTTTGCCGCACATTTTGCAATATTTGAGGAGTAATTTGAAGGCACTCATTCACAATTCTTTGTCGCAGGTCTTCTAATGATGTTGGCTGAGTAGCATAGATTTTGCTTTTTAAATGACCCCACGTAAAGAAATCAAAAGGTGATAAATCTGGCGATCTTGGGGGCCATTCAGTGGCACCTCTTCTACCAATCCATCGATCTGGAAACGTCTGATCTAAATGTTGTCGAACACGTAATGCGTAATGTGGTGAGGCACCATCCTGTTGGAACATCAACCTATTCACAATTTGCAGCCGATCATTCTGATTTTCAATTTTGGCTGTTAATGCAGGATCTATGGCGTCTTCCAATAATTCCAAATACATATCACCGGTCAAATTTCCAGGTAAAAAAAAGGACCAACTAAATGATCGCCAAAGATACCAGTCCAAACATTTAATTTTTGTGGCTGCTGTGTATGAACCTCATGATAAATTATGGGATTAGCTCTTTGCGTACGGCCTTCTCGAAGCCATGCCTGACAACACCTAACCACAGTGTCTACACTTCTTTGCACTCTAACTGCAATTGCCCGAAAAGAAAGTCCATCTTCCCGAAGTCCCACTATACGGCCCCTATCAAACTCACTAAGTTGACGGAATCGTACAGGTCTCCGTACTCTAGGCATCGTAACCGATCGTGAAGGATGTCAAGAACCAAAATCCGCCAACGTTGATTCTTTATTGTGGCTGAAATATTCATTTTTAGAGCGTTAGTGAATTAAAAAAAAGCAGTATAAAAACCGGAATGTCCAACTGATAAGGCTGAAAATTTTTTCACTTGTTATTTACAGTAAGATAAATACATTCACCAACTTTTATTAAAATAAAATCATTTAAACTGGGTGTTCGGATTTATATGTCACTTAGTATATTTTCAACGCACGTTACTGTTCTCATGTCTCTCATTAAATATTTCTGCTGTTCTATTAGCGCACTGATTATTTGAGAAAAATGTTTTGATAATTTCAACTCTGACAAGATGGCGTCCATCGAAGTAGGAACGACTAACAATATTGGTCCTTAAGTGCGATTATTTGAGCGAACTCAAAAATTGCCTTGTAACGTCACTGTTCTGACAAGTTTCTCATGCAGAAAGTTGAAACTCGCCCACGCGCCAGGCTAAAAGAAACTTTTAATGAGCTTTTATTATCATTTCAATAACTCCTGAATGCACGCAGCCTTGGTTCACGGAAACGAAGGAAGTTAGGGCTCCGCAGGGACAAAGTTTCTGAATTTACTTACAGTACGGAATGTACTCTTAAAATACAAATTCTATTTTTTATGAACAATTCATTATTTAATATTCATATTACCAGTTGAAACCGCATACAAATCCAAATTGGTGTATAGTCACACCAAATACTAGTGGAGCTCGATATTTCAGTATGCCTTTAGTTGGGATGTGTTCTATTGTGAAAAGGTGGATCAGATGTTTCCCTGATTCGAACGGTCTCAAAACTCAATTTTTAATCCACAATTTCAAATAACAGGCCATACGACAAGCCCTAGAGTTTACGCAGCCGCAAATGGCGCATACGTTTACATTTGAGCCATAAAACGTTATTGTATAATATTTAACTATTTCGTATTTTTCTCTAGTCGAATCATACCACATATGTGCGTTTAAAATTCTTCTGTATTGTACTGCATTTGGGTCCCAACGACGGCAAGTGTCTAAATGCTAGTATCTTTTTGGCAACACTGTTTTTGACAGATGGCGCGTGAATCGTGTCATTGTCAAACTTGTTCAGTTTGGTCTATAATTTAACCATGAATCGACTTACGAACGAACAGCGCTGACAAATTATTGAATTTTACTATCAAAATTCATGCTCGGTTAAGAGAGTGCATCGAGCACTGCTTCCAATTTATGGGCAATTTGGTCGGCCTACTGAGGGAGCTATTCGGCAGCTTGTGACTAAGTTTCAAACCCAGTTTACATTATTGGACATTAAACCACCAACACGCAGACATAGAGTGAGGACTGAAGAAAATATTGAGGCTGTATCCGCCGGTGTTAGTGATGGCCGTGATGACGTGGAAAATTTTGCGTCAGGATTTGGGTGAAAAACCTTATAAGATACAGCTGGTGCAAGAATTGAAGCCACACGGCCTCCCACAATGTTTCCAATTTGGTGAATGGACGCTGGCAAAGTTGGAGGAAGATCCACATTGGTATCGAAAAATTGTGTTCCGCGACGAAGCTCATTTCTGGTTGAATGGGTACGTTAACAAGCAAAATTGTCGCATCTGGAGTGAAGACCAACCAGAAGCATTGCAAGAGCTACCAATGCATCCCGAAAAAATCACTGTTTGGTGTGGATTATGGGCCGGTGGCATCATCGGGCCGTACTTCTTCAAAGACGACAATGGCCGGAACGTAACTCTGAATGGCGAGCGCTACCGTGCGATGATAACAAACTTTTTTTTGCCCAAAATGGAAGAGCTGGACTTGGCTGACACGTGGTTTCAACAAGACGGTGCCACATGCCACACCGCACAAGAAACAATGGCTCTATTGAGAGGCGAGTTCGGTGAACAGTTTATCTCACATTTGGGGCCCGTCAATTGGCCGCCTAGGTCGTGTGATTTAACGCCGTTGTACTATTTCTTGTGGGGCCATGTTAAGGCTAATGTCTACAGGGATAAACCAGCAACGATTGACGCACTGGAAGCCAATATTGAAGCATTTATTCGTGAGATATGTTGGAGAGAGTGTGCCAAAATTGGACCTTGCGCATGGGCCATCTAAAGCGGAGCCGCGGCCAAAATTTACATGAAATAATCTTTAAACATTAAATTATATCGACCGTTCTATCGACTCAAATAAAGAATCGTTTTTCCAATTTTTTTGTTTTTTTGAAAATCAAATCCTATACCTCTTAAAAAATCACCCGTTACTTGAACAATGTCACTGGTTTTATATATATATAACAACAAGTAGGAAAATAATGGGCAAAATCCGCAAAAAGGAGGAAAGTGGATTCGAGCAGAAAATAGGATAGGTAACCCGAGCGATACGTATTTCTGCTGGTTGGCCTCATCAGGCCCGAAATGAATGCACATATGAAACTACAAAAGTAGATACACATGCCCACACATCCGGATACGGGTGTAACCTGAGGAAACGAAGTTGGAGGGGAAAAAAACGACACACGAAGTCCACAACACAACAAGAGCCAACCTACATATTGTAGTATAAAATGGCTATACGACCTCGAATTTTCAAGGAGACGTCTAACCACCACCACGCGGCCGGTTATAGCCACTTGCTGTGGTACTTCAAGCCCAAAGGATCTGCAAAGAGAATATGATCATTCGGAGAAAGGTATATAACAACAAGTAGGAAAATAATGGGCAAAATCCGCAAAAAGGAGGAAAGTGGATTCGAGCAGAAAATAGGATAGGGCATGTGTATCTACTTTTGTAGTTTCATATGTGCATTCATTTCGGGCCTGATGAAGCCAACCAGCAGAAATACGTATCGCTCGGCTTACCTATCCTATTTTCTGCTCGAATCCACTTTCCTCCTTTTTGCGGATTTTGCCCATTATTTTCCTACTTGTTGTTATATACCTTTCTCCGCATGATCATATTCTCTTTATGTATATATAATCATATTCAAAGAGACGAATCCGCATATTGCTAGGCCCAGAATTGCGTAAAATTTCTTATATGGCGTTTTAAATAAAATAAAATCGCTTTTTCCGCTTCCGGCAGGGTTTTTCTTCCGAAAGACAGTACAAAAAGGTTAAAATTTTACTGTTACCACTATTATTCAAACACCCATTAATAGGATCTTAAATCATGGTAAGAGGAATGGTAATTGTGAAGCTCTATTGTTCAATGTATATTCTGCGTGAGTGCTAGAGTGATTTCCAGCCAGCTGAAAGTTTTCGTAAAATGATAGGCTTTGAAATTTTTCTTTTTCATTATACGGATTCTGATATGACAAAAACGATTTTGCAAAAAAAGTACTTCTCAGAATGCTTTCAACATTTTATCAGCGTACACTTACTTTATAGCAAAAATGTTTTTATCAAAATTCAATAAATAATCCTGGGTGTTGCATTTTATTTCACTTAAGCCCAATTTCACCAACATTAATATTTGACGGTCCCTTGGACCAATGGGAAAACAGCTTATCGAAATGCAATTTGACAGAAGCTGTCAAAGGTCTCTGAATATCAGTGATTTCTATTGAAATGTTGAATAAAGTCGTGAAAAAATGGTTGCCTTATAAATAAGGGTACATTATAGATGTAATATTATGTCTTTGTGCTTTAGAATTAGGATAACTTTAATCGCTGTTAATCTAGTGTGGGTGTTTGTTCAGTTCCTGAACAATGAAAAATATTCAACTTTATGGATGTATGGATATCAAAAACGTGAATGGTTTTGTAGGAATATCAATCTAAGGTGCCATAATAGTTGTGACGTACGGCAAGTAAATGAATGAATGTGTGGAAACGAGCAATATCT